CTTCGTTCCGCATTTGGCTCTGCACGTTATAACGAACACACAAGGACTCTCGGTCCGCCTGGCTGAAGCTCACTGGTCAATCCCGCACTTGCCATCGATTCGGGTTGACCATCCCGCTTTTGTTGTTACATTCCATCACCCTCGCACTCGGCCGACTTTCGACCTTCTGGTCCGTTTTTCCACTTGCATCACCCCCGCACTCGGCCACCTTGGACCGACGAGTCCGTTTTGCACATTCATCAACCGACCACTCGCTCACCTTCAGACCATCTCGTCGGTTTTTTCACATTGAACACCCCCGCTCTCGGCGAGTCTTTCACCATCGGTGGTTTTGTGGAAATCCTTGTCATCCATCCGTGAAAGCTCATCGCCTCCAGAAGGAAAGCTGAAATCATCATCCCCACAAACCTAAATCAACATCATCAATTGGAATACTTCAAGTATCCACTTTGGTGAGAAAATAACCTCAACAACTTACCATGACTGGTGACCCCCAACTAACACCTTCTCATATTTCTCTTTAGTCTGGTGTCTTGTGTTCTCCCCAATCTTCTTTGCCTATATTCAGTTGTTTCTCTCTTAAGATTGATCTTCTGTTGTGGTAAATTATATCAACATTTGATTCCATTTCATTCCATTCCTTCTTCCTTTCATGATTCTAATTTTCTAACCTTGTCTTGTTCTGCAGTCTGGTTGGGTTTTTTAGCAATACAACTCTCTCTCAGATTTTTTCAGATACATCAGCATGAGGGCTCCCGGCCCAGCTCTAGGTGGGGTTTTAGCTTCAATGATCCACTGCTCAGGATAAACTCCCATCTAACACCAAAATTTTGCCTGGGGGCCATCCAACCGCAGATTACCAGTTCTGTGATGGGCTCTATCTATGCCACCTATGTCCAAAGGCCACTGGCACAAAGAATTGGCGTCGACACTGTGGCTCTGTCACGCACAAGCGCCAGGTTCAACGCCGAGACGAGGCCAGGCGTATGAGTCAACCGGTGGTCCCAGAGACGGTTGGGACACCAGGAGACCCTGGGGAGGCTGATGGGCAGGAGGATCACACACAAGAGGACAATGCGCACAGAGAGAGGGTGTGGGAACGGATTGAGCGCTTCCTGGCACTGGAAGAGGAAGAGGCTGCATTGGATACAAACACTAGGGCGCTGGACGACTACTTGGACGAGCTTGAGTCAAGGGGCGCAAGGGAAGGGGGAGCCAACCTGGGAAACGGCACTGGACAGGGGCCGGACTGGCGCGGATTGGCTGAGACGGCACTCATGGGGATTGAGGTGGATAAGGACGATCACATTGTTGAAGACCCCCCAATCCTCAGGACAGACAAGAGGTCGGACCGGGTGAACAAAAGCCCATGGTACCCTTTTAAGAGCCAAATGGTGAGTTGTGTTGGTGATGCTTCACCCTTCAGTCTAGGTGGAAAACTGGATTGACAATCTTGTGTACTCTGACCTGTAGGACCTCATTGCGTCACTAATTGTGGGGCACACACATTCAATGCTCTCAAGAAGTCTGTACACCAAAATCAGGGCAATATTGACCCTATGCGGCCTGCGTTTGCCCGCTTGGGCGACAGTGCGCACGTCACGTGAGAGGATTAGGGGTTTATTGGGCAGTAAGATCAGGAAGGCTGTATCCGTTTTCGATGTGCCTTGTTATGCACTGAGTGCAAAGAAGATCTTGAGCCAAGTGAGTCATGTGTGATGGGTGACTGGGGGCAAGGAAATGTTGGCTGATCTAACTCATCTGGATTGTTTTTAGGAATTGGCTAACCCTCGTGTCTCCAAATTCTTGGACTATTACCCCGAGATGACAGATGGTTTGATGATCAAGAAGTTCTCTCAATCAGGAAAGTGGCTGTCAGGAATGTCACGAGCGATTCGACCACAAATGTGTGAGGCAAACGGAAAACACTTCTATATTTATGAACCAGTCCAACTGCGGTCCCATGTGGTTGTGGTCCCGGTGTATCTTTTTATGTATCAGTCGGTTCTACACGCAAGGTGCTGGGAGATACTTGATGATCACATAACAAGTACCGAAACGAGTGTCGAGGGAAATTTATCAACAGTTCTTAATATCCGAATGCCATTGGATCTGGACTTTGATGACGCGCGGTTGGGTTCAATCCCTGTGGAACAGTTTGATGTGGAATACTCAGGAATTCGCTGGGAAGACGGGAGGCTCCTGGTGGAGGCATGTGCAGGGAAAATCTTTGGCAAGTAAACATCATGTTCTGATTGCCTGTGGCTCATGCTAACATGTTTCTTGGGGGTGGCGGTAATCAGACAGTACAGGTCTATCAGGAGAGGTTTTGATGTTTCCAAATCCTTGGAGGGCCAAGGCGAAGAAGATGATCCTTCGGAATGTGCCAATAACCCTATATTCGGACGACACTTCAGGGAATGTTTCCAAGCAATTCAATAAGCATATATCGTTCTATTTTACCCTGTCCGGTCTGCCGCCTCACTTGTCCAATCAGGAATATAATTGTCACTTTCTCTCAACTTCCAACTTGGCCAGTGTGGGGGAAATTGCGGAGCAAATTGTGGAAGAAATGAAGTGAGTCACGGTTGCATGGATTTAGATCAGGAGCTAATGGGTGGGTGTGTTTTGGTTGGCTCAGTGATATGACAACTGAAGGGTTTGAAGCCTACGATCATAGCATTGGCCAGAAGGTTTGGGTGACGTCTTCGGTCTTTTGTTTCCTGGCGGACTCGCCCATGCATGCTGAGGTGACTTGCACACCAAATCCTGGGGCTTCAATAAATCCGTGCCGAATGTGCAAGCTGTCGGTGAGCATGAAGAGGTTAAAGCGGACACGCAGGTTCATCAGGGCTTTCCTCGGGAGGGGGTTTCATGGGAATAAGGTAAGGAGGCTGCTGGGGATGTCTGGGTGGGATTGTTTTGGGTTGGCTGATTGTTGCACTGCATTTCATTAGGTGCGAGGGGACCCTAGGGAGTGGGAGGAAACAAAATCAAGATGTCGCGAACTTTGGGAAATTGCGACCACACAAAGCTGGAATCAATTTGTGATCAAATGTAAGGAGTATGGTCTAAAGGATACAATAACAACAAGGCTCTTGACCGAGGCAAAACTGGATTCTTGCATCAAAGAGAAGATGATGAATATGGCCCTTGGGGATTCCAATCGCTTATACAGCCCCTTTTTGCAACTGATTGGTTAGTTTTGAACATGTACAAATTCCCAGGGTGGAGGATGATATGCTGAATTTTTCTTTGGTGATTTGTTGTAGGGTTTGACGGGGTGCGTGATACCCCAGTTGAAGTATTGCATGTTGTCCTCCTTGGGGTGGTGAAATATTTGGCCCGAGATTTGGTTGCAGGGATCTCCGAAGGAGACCAGAAGCTGCTGGTGGGACGCCTACAATCTTTCGACTGCACGGCTCTGAACATCTCTTCGTTCAAGCCAAAATACCTGATCAAGCACATCAAGAGCCTGGTAGGGCGGGATTTTAAGATCTTGTTACAAGCAGCCCCTTTTGTGTTTGGGGAATGGATGAGTGAGGAACAGAAACCAATATGGTTTGCTCTTTGCAAGCTGGCCCCTTTGATTTTCCAGACATGCATAGACGACATGGACGCCTACCTGATTGAACTCACCCACCACATTGACATATTCTTGTTTCACATAATCCGATCAACAGCGCAATGGGTCAACAAGCCAAAGTTTCACATGCTCGTGCACCTTGTGGAATGCATCCGGAGGTTTGGGCCAGCGTCCCTGTTTGCAACAGAGAAGTTCGAATCGTATAACGGGGTCTTACGCAAAGCTTCTGTGCACTCAAACAAATTGGCCCCTGGGCGAGATCTGGCGACCTCCTTCAATGATTTTGGATCACTCAGGTTTGTGGTGTCTGGGGGGATTGTCTTGGACAATCAGACGGGTGGTACACGGCCGATTGGGACCTCAGTGACGTCGGTTTTTAACGATAACCCCTCGGTTCAGAAGTCAATGGGATACAACCACCTGGCGTGTCACCCAGATGACAGACGCGACTACCCTAGGAAGGCACGTGGACGTGTGGGGGAGAAGATGCTCTCAGTCCCACCAGCAGCCCTCTTGGAAGCACACCCAAGCGCTGTTGTCAAACAAGTTGGAAGGGTTGATGTGAGCAAGCATGATTGTGTGGGAAGTGGGTCATTTGTGGTGGTGAGTTTGCCCCAAATTAATCTGCAGGTTTCCTGTTTGGCTAACCAATCCCCCGGGAATTTCATTCAGGTTGGCGAGAGCCCCATGGGGGAGTTGGTGGTTGGGCATGTGGAGTCTTTGTGGGAGGTCTCAGCTAATGGAAGCACCCCGGGGTTCTTTGCCTCAATGAATGTTTGTATATCAAGGGGGGTTGATGACTGGTATCAAATGAGAAAACTGCTGCGGTCAACTCGAAAATCCTTGGTGAATGTTAAAGTAAGATCCTATCATTGCCCAACTAGCTGCACATGTGAGGACAAGAGCTTACTGACCGGGCGATTTTAAATGGACAGTTTATCATTGGATGCATAAATGTTCAACATAATTGCCACAGAGGCGAATGCCCCGTTGAGCTCACCAAGGAGGAGGACATGGAGCGGCAGCGTACAGGGCGCAAGGGAAGGCAGGTCGAGCACTCAGACCAAGAACACTACATCATCAACAGTGGAGCCCTCAGGAATGCCGTGCTCCATCGAAGAATATCAGGACTGCCTATGGATCTCCCGGACAGACACAAATGGACTGAAGCAATCGATCTTGGGCTTGGCATCTGGAATATAGGTTTGGATCCTATTCAATCTGATGACGAGCACTTTGATGAATATCAGCCAGGGAGTGAAGATGACGCCGAGGGGGAGACGGATTCCGAGTTCGCCAGATCATCAAATAGTTCTGGGTCTGATAATGATGAGGACGTGGATGGCGAGGAGGACGCCGAGGGCGAGACAGATTCCGAGTATGATGGAGAAGCTGATGATGAGGTGTAGCTGGGCCCTGGTCCTTGGCGGGTGGAAATCATCCGTCATGAAAACTATCCATGTGTAATTGATACCCATAAGTGTCACAGCAATTCCCCTCTTACACCATTGAGGTCAGCTCATGCCTTAGTCAGGTGAATATGCACATTTGATTATTGCCTACGCAGACATCCTTTTGCCCAATGAATGAAAAATTTCACATTGCCCAATGACATTTGGTTCACGGGCTGGTCTTGATTTTGCAACCCTTCTTACAGCCCGGCTAAAAAATTTTGCTTTTTGTGTCAACCAATGCATGCATGGTTTCTCTTGTTGTCTCATTCCATCAACTGTGGCTCTCATGGTCATCCTCCACCTGAATGTGGGGCACAGCCCAACCAGAAAGGACAGAAAATCAGCCATGTGTCCAATTACCTCAGGCTCACTGGGAGGAACCTCAGCATTCACCATGCTCATTGAGGCACCAGATGAATTTGGTTGCCCTTTGGGTCAAGTGTCACTAATTGATGATAGGGCAAAGAAAATAATTGGGACAATTTTCAGAGGAGACATGCACATGACTGAGTGATTATTCCAATTGGGCATGAGCATGAACCCCCTCCCACAAGTATTCTCTCCCCACAGGGGGAGTGTCCAAAGTCACCAATGATGGATTTGATACAATAGCCCTGGCCCAACCATGGATCACCGCCGCAGACATCCTGATGAACTTCTGCCCCCCAGGCGCCCATTTGACCTTCAGCTGGATATGCCCGGAATTTCCATCCAGGTGGGTTGCCTCTGTATGCAACCGGCGCTCGAGTTCGGCAATCAGATTGTTCCTGTGCGGGCAATGGCGAATATGCATTGCCTGGAAAATTGAGATTGTATTTATTAGCTGCTTGTCAGCAACGCAAAGCCCAACGGGCTCCGCAATGGGGGAGGGCAGGAGGAAATAACAACACACCTTGCAAAAGGCATCGCTGACCGCCGTGCGCCCGTACGGGCGGTTGGTGAAGAGCCTGAGGTAGATTTTCGACGTCGCCGTTGTCCTTGCTATATAGCCGGTAAAGATTTCCCAACAAACATCGGTGCAGACTCGGAATGGAACACCCCGGCCAAATTCTCGGAGGTCTGGGATTGTCCCTTCCCACAACAAGTCACGGTACCGGTCGTTACTTCTGAGCTCGTCGGCCACCTCTGAGTCATAACTTCCTATCGCCTCCAGAACATCGTGTCGGATCTGATCCCAGGTTGACGCCCGCGGGTCTCCACGCCATGTCACGAGCCGGGAAGGGCCCATCGTTTCGGTCCATGTGTGAACTCCATGTGCCGCCCGGTACTGCCGGCACCCGTCTTGGTCAGCCTGGGGCGAAGGGAGCCAGCAGTGATATTCCAGGATGATTACCACGGACAGCGGAGCCGGCACCACGGGTGGGACTGAAGTGACTGGACACTCGTCTTCCGAAGCAGTTGTTGTACACGGCCATTCGGCGAGCTCTGGGTAAAACTCCTGCAGCTCTGCCTCGGTTAAAGTGTTACCCATGAGAGGTGGAATCTCGATCGCCTCAGCTTCCTCCGGGCGTGTTCGGCTTTGCGTGTCCGCTTCGTCGTGCATTGTCAATGTGCCGTAAGCAAAGAAAACTGGGCCAGTCGGGTCGAACTGAGGGGTCATCAAATTCCAGGCAAAAGTTAGCAGCCTTCCATCGGAAGATCCAGTCAAAGTTGATATTGAGGAGGAGATGCCTAGACAAACCTGAAAACACCACACCGGAGGTCTTCCGTGCAGATGCACTTAGCTGAACGGTGTGCTTGGCGAACCCATTCCACTAACGAATCAGCCTGCTCAGAAGTGTATGGCCGCTGGTCGGCGCAACGACATCTGTTTGCATGCCGTGAGACCATCAGTGGGCCGACCCACCGGCGTCTGAATGCTGCATTTCATTCCTTTTTGGGAGGAATCCCTCCCGAAAAGGAATGAAATGCAGCATTCGTTCCCATTTCGGACATGTCGCTCCCATCAGACGGATGAAACATCAGCTCAACCACGTCCCGGCCGTGATGAAGAAATTTTTCGCAACTTGGTCATGGGCGATTCCGCCAGCTCCATCTCCCCGCTGACTACAAAAGCCCATGCTTGGCGCGCCCTCAAGACGCTTTGCTCTGTCCCCCTGTCCAATCACGACTTGAGCCTTTCAAAGTCCGGACTTCCTACAATGGTCTTCCTCCCCCCAGGTACCAATCAGACCCCGCTCAGTGACCCCACCGGCCCAAACGGTTCCGGGACTAATCATGGCTCATCGACCCCTGGATATCGCCGCCAACGTTCGCCATCTGACCCAGGTAAGCCCGCCATTCCCAGCCCCATTTACCCCCCACCTGCTAGCACACTCACAATCGAACCTCTTCTCCTTCAACCTCAAAGATGATGATCCCAGCCCCCGCCAGCGGGCACGAACCCGCGAGCGAGCGAGCGAATTGGTCAACCCCTTCCTTGACATTGACGGACCAGACTTGGATGAACAACTGCCCGACCCGGATACCCTTGATGCGACCCGCCCTCCAGCCGAAAACCTGACCGTTGCCCTCGGGGCCCAGGTGCTGACCAGTGGCCAACTTGCTATGTTAGCAGAGGTCAGCCACATTCTCTCACCCTTGTCTCCCCCTCCCCACTTTGACTTGAACCAGCCACTACCAACCACCATATTTCGTCCCCAGATCCCCCAACCCGAGCACACAACCATCATCCTCTCAACCCTTGCGGCTGTCCTCAAGCGACTCGATACCTTGACCCAGCAGCAATCCGCGCGGACTCCCCTGGACCCAGCACCTGCCGCCAACCTCTCATTGGCAGAGCAGGTCCGCATGTTCCAGTTCTCCCCAGAAGCCAAAGTAAGTCACCGTTTTGTTTTTACACCACTCCGGTCGACCCCCACCAACGCCCTCATGACCTCCTCATCCTCTGCAGGAATTCCTCCGCCAGCAAGCCCGAGAATCGATGATGCACCCGGACCTTGAAGCCTACTGCGAGGATACCCGCGACCGTGGTCTGTTCCGCATGGTGCTCGTGAGCTTCCGCATCCCCCCCCTGAAAACTCTTTTCACTAGGACTCACCCTTCCCCCCCCCCCCCAGTCTGGCATCATCAGGCAACCAGCCACCTACCTTCGGGCCCAGTTCCCCCCTGGCTTTGTGGCCCAAGACCGCCTGTCGATGAACCACACCCACACTGAGGCGAAGAGACAGCTCAAGAACGTCCGCCACCAGCTCCGAAACCTACTTCTCACGGGTGTTCTTACATCGAACGCCGAGGCCCCACCCATCCCAAACCTCACGAAGCTGGCCCGAGATGTCTGGCGCTTCCTCATGGGCACGGCCACTCGGCTATCAAACGAAGAAGTTGACACCCGCGTGCTCCCCCTTTTGAAGATCAGAATCGCTTACCTGCGACTCGCAACCTTGGAAAATCACTTTGACCCCCTGGCCAGAAACGTATCTCAATGGGACCAAATCGATTCGCAACTCCAAGCCAATCGCGAGCGAACCGTTAATTTTACTAACTCGTGAGTAGTCATGTCTCATATTCGTGTCCCCCCCATCATGTATGTACTGACATGCTCCCTGCTCCAACCCAGCTGGCATAAGATGATCTACCTCAAGGACGAACAGTTGTTCTCCACATCGCCCGCTCTGGCCGATCTGGACACCTCGCTCTGCAAGTGCCCCACCGACCGCGAAGTCCTCGATCGTATGGCCTCCTTAGGCGAGGCTTGAGCCACACGAAGTACATACCCCTATCTGTTGATCTGTTACATAAGATCGCACGTACCTGTTAGGCCTGAGTTCCTCAGTTGGCCATGCTTCATGAGCCGGCCCCTTTGTTCCCCCCCCTTTGTCATTATGAAATAAATGCCTATCCCCCCCGATGAGATTTCCCAAGCAACCTCCCTACTAGAGCTATTTCTCAGCCTCGCTGTGCCGACAGGTGCAGTCACCTGTCCCCTTGAGCACTGGTGCAGTACCCAGTCCCCGATCACTCCTGGCCGCTCCTCCCTTGAGATGAGCCCATCCGCCAGCCCCGCTGCAGCGATCAACCTGACGCCCTCGCCTTGTCGGCCCCACGCCTGGCACAAAGCCGGCGCGATTGCGTCCTCCCACACATCCCAGTCGCCCCTTCGCGGCCGTCCGACGCAGCCCCTGAGCTGTCGACCCACCGACCCCAAAGACCCTTTCCTGGCGACCACATCCAGGCCTCCTCGAGACCTCACCCGCCCCACCCAGGCCTCCCCCTGGCGACCCCACGCCGCCGCCATCACCCCGCACAGGCGGAGCGTGAACCTCGCCATGGACACCGGCCGCACGCCATGCGCGTACCCTCCCTGGCGCGCCGATGGAGCATCCGCTGGCGCCTGCGGCATGACACCGTCTGGGCGCCCCGAGCTGCCCGTCGTCCTCATGAGGCCGCGCCGGCGGCCGGCACAGAGTACAGGCGACATCACGCGGTCGGCCTGAGGGCGAATCCCCTGGGCGCCATCAAGGGCATGCTCCAAGACATGTCCCCATGGCGACCCTGGCCTGGTGGGCTGCAATGGCGCCGTGGGCGGCGCCCGGCTGGCGACCAATTAGTCCCGGGGTGTACTAATCCTCATGGGCAAGCAAGCGCACTTAGCGCATAAGTCCCTCCTTCGGAGGGTCCCTGCGGGACGGCGTCCCCCCTCCGAATAAAGAGGGACTTAGTTAAGTTTGGCTTAATTGGGGGCTGGATGTCTTGGCCTGTCAGGACAGTGGCGTTCAATGTGGGTCTTCGCCTTACAAATACTGCACACCGTCGGCAGGTTCAACTCGGTCGCAAAGGATGGCCCGACAAGCATCGCCGTGAAGATGACGAGCTCCAAGATGCTGGCTTTCATAGTTTCAGTAAGATACGATTGGACAAGCTGGAGTCGAACTCAGGTGGTGGATGCGACTGATTGTGTGGACTAAATCCCTTGTGAAACGATGGTGCTTGCTGACACGGTTATATTATCGGCGGTGTGACGTGGTGTGTAGTTTGGGTGACTATAAATCGAGCTGCTCGTTCAAGCTTTACGCAGTGCTTGTATGCGGCAAAAGTCAACGAGAGCCAACCCACAAGAAAGTATGTAGCAAGGTCAGTAGAAACCTGGCTACATAAATGAACATTGTTTCGGCTTATACTTAGTCTCCTCATCCAGCATCAGAAATGAAGGGCGAAGAAGTGAAAATCGGTATATTGATAATTATGCAGTACATAGGTTTTAGGAACCATTTGAACAGAGCTGGAAGTGGCAGCGCAGATTGACAAAAAGGGTCGAGCAAATACATAATCCGATTCGATTGTCGTAAAGTCAAGGCCAACCTACGCAAACTATGTAGCATATAAATTGGTGATTCTCATCTGGTGAACTCGTTCAACATCCGGTACATATCATCAACATGTACCATTCCCAGCTATGTACATAGGGATCATCACTAGAAGCGCATCCAACGACAAATGCGAAACTAAAAAAAAACGGTACGGCAAACTCCCCTGGAAAAGTACACCGAATATTGGTCCTCTCATCTACTATTTACTCTAAGGGGGACCTGACTCCGGTCCAGTCAAGAAAAAAAAACGCTCATATTTTTGGGAATATGTTGATTTCCATTGGATTGAGTTTGAATCAAAGTTGGTTAAGTAAATGGAGTATATAATTACTTGATAACTTCTTTTTTTTTTAAAAAAAAAAAAAGGAAAATATGGCAAAGATGAAGCGAAGATCCAATCCGAACTCAGAGGAGCTCAAAAAAAAGGGGTGGGAGAAGGAGAAGTTTCAAGTGATAGTGAGGACCTTGACGTTATGATAATACGCGGAGATCTGGTCGAGATCGGGCACGTTTGCATGGCCACGCCGATTGATATTGCTCATCTTGTCACGGAAAGAGGGACTTGCGAGGATCTTGACGAGGAACTGAGTCTGCTCATCCAATCCGACCACTTTCTTGGCCAGCCTATGAGTCGAGGAATCTGCTTCTTGTTGATGATCGGTGTTGAGCAGATGGGTATAGAGGTGGATCAGTTCCTCGAAATCGGTCGGGAAAAAGATATCAAACATCCCTGGTTTGACTAAGAAAGTAGAGGTCGGAACGGTCTAAACCCGGATTTTTTTTTAGAAACAAATAAGCGCTTAAGGTCACAAAGACATCATACTTGTGAGAGAGAGAGACATACGACTCCATTGTATCGAGTCTGGACCACTGGCGCGCCGAATCGGTTCGAACGGGGATCGTTGAGGGTATTCGGAAGATGGGAGAAATCGGAGAGGATGAGACGATGGTTGGGGAAGAAATTGAAGATGGATTGGAGGAGGATGAGGTAGTTAGTCGGGATGAATTGATGCTGGGTGAGGTTAGATCTGAAGGGGAGATATTTAGCCCAGAGTTTCTCGAAGAAGAGCGATAGTTGAGTGGTTTTTGTTTGTTGTTGATCGAAGATGTCGAGATACTCCAATAGGTTCGGATTATTCTGAGTGGTGATAGGGATGAAGCGTTCGTGGAAGTCGCCGAGTTGGTCGGTGATGACGATGGACTGAAGTGGCGTGCCGGTGACCCTATCTCTTCTGATCACGTCTCTGGCCAGATTATCGAGCACCTCCATGCCGAGTACCCAGCATGGTTCATGGGAAGGTTCGAGTTCGGGTGAGCTTGTGAGGCCGAGGATCGAGCGGTTGATAACCCGGGCACGCCCCTGGTGGCCCGATCGATCGATCTTCTCCCGTTGGCGATCCGCCAGGCGTCTGGATAATTCGATCGTCGTGTACCTGGTCTTCTCGTATAAGTTCGGATGATGTTCCTTGATGTAGTCTAGTATCCCGACACATAACGTCCCATTGCCCGCACCGATCTCATAGATCTTGAGCTCCTTGCCTTCCTCCTGAAGCTGATCTCTCTTCTCGAGATGTTTCTCTACGATATAATGGGCCATACTCCAAGCGTACCATGGCTACATACATACAGAGATCAGTATAGACCCTACACAAAAAAAGGACAAGGGATGGTTGACAGACCTTGAATAATTCGGTTGGAGTATGCCAAATCTGACGTTGATCTGCGGGTGAGGATGGTTGGTCTTCTGACTCTGAAGCAAGATGGCGACGGAGCAGGAGTTGGTTGTTTTGCTTGCCCGAGGCAGGGTCGAAGTATTCGGCATACAGGTCCAGCTCGAAGTTAGCCGTGGGGGTTTCGGGTCTGTCTAGGATCTCGACCTGATTGAAGAAGTAGCCATAGTTTGGGTTGTAGAGACTGTCGTGGATGAAGTCTCTGGCCAGGGAGATGGATGGTCTGGGAGGATGGTTGAACTTGGCTAGCTCGTTGGTGGTGAGCAGTTTGATGGTCGATGATGATGAGAATTGGTTGATGACCAGTTGTGTTTCGGTTGGTTCTTGTTGAGAGTATTCGTCTGGGAGATAGTTGAACCGAGTGGGCTGAGTTGAGTATCTGCTCCTACTAACCAGCACCCTCGCTCGGTGTAGTCGTCCAGTCATATTTTCTGTGGATGTTCAACTGCAATGAAAACTTGCCAATCAAATTTGTAACTTGAGATGTCTTCATGAGGAAAAATCTCATCATCCAATCCTACGAACATGCAGGCACACCCCACAGAGATCAAGTCAATGTATTTTCATTCTTCCTTGTTGCCAATCCAACTGGATGATCCTCACATCTTCTAGTGTGCAATCAACCTTTCTTTCTTTCTTCTTCTTCTTCTTAAATTAAATATTCATTACTCGCAACCCACAAGCTGAACATAGTCTACTTGGATCAGCTACATATAGCTCACTCAAACTCATTGGTTTGTTCTTGAATTTTTCCAACAACAAATTGGAGGACTTCCTGTTGCCATTTAGAGTGCTTTTTAAGCCCTCCCCACTGCCAGTCCTAATTAGAATTAACAACCCAATCATAATTCCAATCAACTCACATGAGAGCTGTCTTGACAAGGCTTGTGACAAAACAATTTTCTATTCCAAAAATTAAGATCTAGGGGGTGTAAATTAAATTCTGGGAGGGCTGTAAACCGCCACAGGAAGACATCCATTAACTGCTTCTGTGAAGATGTCCATGTAATATCTTTTCACTCTTTCTAATTTCAAATCCTCAGCTTCCATTTTAGCCATGATCTTAAAAACAAAAGTTTAGGCCCCATTTGGCAGTGTCATCAATTTAGGTGTATTAAATATAGCCTGATTGATTCAATAAAAATAAACTAATGGGAAATATGTATTAACAAAACTAGTATATGCCCCCAAATTTGGGGAGGCTGGTTGTTTTTGCCCCGGATGTTGGGGGTTTTGCTCAATGACCTATGGGGTTTTCTTGAGTTGGACACCTGTCTGCCTTGGTCTAACGCTGGTGTTGACAAATCCAACAAATGTGAATTGGAGGTTGACGCCGGCGTTAGATTGCATGACAGTTTGTTTGGCTCTCTAAGCCTATTTTTTTAGTTATATGTAGATTGTTACTTGAGAAAGTTCAACTACTGGTTTCATTAACACTGTGAGGCTCCGTTTGGCAGTCCATGATATCATAAGAAAATGTAAATCCAGATAATCAGAATAAGGTTGATAAACCATAAACCAATGATCACAAAGCTAGAAAATTGTCTGCTTGTGACAGTGGATTTTTGGTGTTGTAGTGTGGCCAGCCAAACATGATTTTCACTTATGATAATAAATGTGGTCCCCCAAAAAGATTTGCAGGAATTTCCTATGATATTTTGTGATATCATGGACTGCCAAACAGAGCCTGAGAACAAATCTGATATCTTAGGCTATCTTCAGCCCCATATCAATATTACGCTTTAAATGGGTAAAAAGTGTAATATTGGTATTATGATGCTGAAGCTAGCCCCCTCAATAATTTTTTTTGGGCCTCGTTTGGCCATCCATGATTGTCATATATGATCATGGCAGATATTTTGGGGACGCACAGCAGATGACGGGGGACAAACAACATGTTTGGTTGTCCACATCATATCCACTCACATATGACGGAAATGGCCAACAAGATATATCTCCCTGCCAAATCCAATATTTTGGGTCCCCCCCAAAATGTACCGTTATAAGAGCAACTGATTGCTCTCCCCACCCTCCCATTTCCATCCCTCCATCCCCTTCTGCCGGTGCCATGCCACCCCATCCCTCCAAAAGACCTCCCGGTCGTCCTAAACTCCCTTTGTGTCCATTCCCTCCGCCAATTCTACCCTCTATGTACCATTTACAATGCGTGCAAACTGCCAAACGGCCACATCAATATATGAGAAGAATTTTCAGACTGTGTCATATGCACAGCCAGGAAAATACAATCCAGGATTTGCATATGACAATCTACGCTCACAATCTATTACGATTGTGGATGGCCAAACAAGGCCTTACATATTTCTGAGTGGTTTATTTTTTTCTTGAATTGATAAGGCAATGTGACACTTAAATTTATGACTCTACCAAATGGGGCCTTATTATGGGGCACCAGAGGAGGGGGTAACCAAGGAGATTGGTCGTGGGAGCTGTTTTTTTGATCAAAGAGTGAAAGGGGAAGATGATTATCAATTCACAACTCAATTACAAAACAAAAGATGACTTTGAAAGGGAGGGAATGGATAACTTAAGTAAACAGGGATCAGCAACACTGAGAGATTACACGTGTTACAAGATCCAGAGGGATTCTTTTAACAGAACTTCCCAGTGCATTGGATAATACCAACTTGGTTTTGAAGCTTTGCAGTAATGTAACAAAGGGGATTTCCCCCCTCCTTGCAGCAAAAGAATAATGCAAACACCATGTTATCCACATGATGCAAGGGTAAACCCCCTTGATAAGTGTTTGTTTCCACTGAGTTGTGATGGATAGCAATATAACAACAATCAAAATGGCAGGAAACAAATGTAACAGAAAGGCCATGGCAGTTATTGTAATGCCAATGGCTGCAATTCTATTGTGTTATTGTTACACTACCATTGACAAGATGGTTTAAAACCTATCTCATTGTGAGGAATTCCTCCTGATGAGACGGGTTTCACTAACTTTTTCTTTGGTCAAGGCATTGTGGTTGCACAGAATAGAGCAACTGCATGGGTATTAGCCTTGGAGCTAGCAACAAAGACAACAGTGACATTGCCAACATGATTAGGCGGGTTGATCAACCCAAGCTTGATGGATAATGAGGAGACAAACTGCAGATTGGAGTGTGTGTGCAAAGGGGGGGGGGGAGTGTGATTATCATTCCCCTTATTGGATTGATTTTACTTTACTTCACAGGGACCAGCCTTTGATGTAAGCCCTATTCTCAAGTTGCTTTGTTAATTGAGAGGCTGTACCAAGAAAAGAAAGAAAAAGGAGGTGCCCATTACAGGCCCATTTTTTATATTTGATATTTTTAAACTTTTTTTTGCTGTTTCATTTTTTTTTTTGATAAGGTGCATTTTTTGGAGTTTTTATTTAAATTTTACTGTGCAAGTGGTTTTCCAGGCTTTGTGCGTTTGAGCCAACATTCATCTTCATTGTGGCCATGTTTCCGACAATGTGCACATGGTGGTGGGGGTGTTGGAGATTTACTAGTTGCATCAATAACTTGCACACTTATACCATCAAGGATTTGTATGTTACCATTGCCTGGGGGGTCCATAGCCAACAAATGGCTGAGAAGGACATTTATCAGCATTGGAATTGCAATGCTCATGTTCATGATGTCTGGCAGAGGGCTGGGATTGAACACAGGTTGTGGTGGGTTTAATGGTGGTCAAGATGATGAAGTGTGTCAGCCTACGTGATGCCAAGATGTATAATCTTCTAGCTACACGTGGTGCAAAAGCAAGCAAAAAGCTTAAAGGTTTTTGGTTTTAATTCTAAAAGAATAAATTCCAATACAATAAGGAATTTATGGCGTAATTTTAGTAGGAAAAATGGCCAATTTATATTAATAAAATTAATATAAATAAAACCAGAGGGGCCTGATGAATCAGGGGTGGTTTAATCCCTCTAAGGTATCGTGCAAAAGCAGAGGATTTAGATACCTGGAACACTGGGGCCTGTGAACAGGTGTGGTTTAAATCCCAGGAAGAATTTAAGGGGAAAATCTCAAGAAAAGGGTTATTACTTACTAGTAATAATCCTATGGGGTCTTGAGGATCTTCAAAGTTGAAACTGGACAGTTGGGAGCGCTCAGAAAGGTTGATTTTGGGTGCTGGGTGATCACTGGGGAGTTTCTTGAGGGTTCTTGAGGCTTTAATAACAGCAAAAATAGTAATAACTAGGCTAATTACAAGTGTAGGGGACTTGTAAATGGTAAGTATGTTTCTATATAGTATTGTAAAGCTGGGGGCTCATTATTTGGGCGGTCAGAAGGCCCTTTAAATACCTGTGGAAGGCCTCAGGGGTTGCTCAGGGGAGCTTAGTAGGACTTGGGGGCGCTTTTGGGCCCTTTTTGGCCCACATAGTGATGTAACCAGGGCTGGAACCTTGGGGATAATATTCTAGAAGCTCCAAGGGGTCATGCACGAAATTATTACAGCCAAGAATGTCCCATGGGAACCTGTAGATAGGGGCTACTCTGTTACGTGGAGTAGTTTCCTTAGAAATGGGCCACAGAATGTTCCAGAGGTGTCTTCTGAGGCTTGCTACACGTGTTACCCATTGGAATATGGTTACTGTAGTATTTTCATGGATATTCTAGCTTATTTACATTCTTACTACACGTGTGGGGGCTTTGTTGTCACGTGTAATGGGGTTTCTGGGGCTTTTGTGGCCCAATCCTAGGATACTGGTGCGCTGCATGACTACGTGGCGCGTGGGCTTGGAGACAGAACTCTACACTGCTCTATCTTCTAAACCGTGCACAATACTCCAATTCTGAGACTGGATTTGGAGTATATGCATTATGCATTATGCACAAGAGTCACAGTACCCGTGATCTGGGGGTACCTGTTAATTATTCATGCATGTATTACAGGGTGAAGGAGTTAGAATTTGGGGTACCTTTGGCTGAGGTACCCTAGGTTAAATTGTATGCTGATTCAGAATCCGCAATAATATTTAAGGTTTTGTTTATACTTTTTAAGTTATTCATTTATTTTTATGTATTTTTTACCTTATTTACATAAGTAATATTTGTTTCTTTTACTTATGTAATATTTTTACTTTATACTTAGATTTTTTATGTAATTTATTATTTTATTTGCTTATGACAGGTTGTCTCTGCCATAGTAGCAAGCTGACAAAGTGCCAATGCTTGCTGATACAGTTAGGTTGATGGTGGAATTGTGAATGGCTTGGGAGACTAAAATAGGAGCTGCTAGTTGACTCTCAAGCAGTGTTTCATGAATGAGACAAAAGTAGAAGACTTGAATGAGGAGGTTTATATAGAAACTCAAGTCATGAGGGATCAAGAGTGTAGCCTTGAGTTATGCCTGTCAGCTGATGGTTACATCATTGCCCAACTGTACACCAGAAGGTCCAAAAATTTGTGTCATCAGTGTTTTTTTTTTTTACTTCACTGCACTTTTCATTTTATTTCTTGATCTCTGTTGACTACTTTTTCAGCCTGAAAATCCTTCCTGATCCCAACAAAATCATGATCATTTTCATGGCAGGAACCCTTTATAGAATCTATTCTCAACTGTCTTTAATGTTAATTTAGATTTTTTACCAAAAAGGAAGAATGGGTTGCCCATTATAGGCCCATTATTGTTTTATTTATTTTAAATATTTTTTTGGCTATATTTTTTGTTTTTTCAATTTTTTTTAGCTTTTTTTTGATGAGGTGTGTATGTTTTGTAGGTTTCTTTTTCTACTTTGTGGAATTCATTCATTAATTTTTGTTTTCATGCTTGCTTAGTTACCAGGGTTGGCATTTGGATCATTTGGCCCATTTGGTGGTCCACAGTACTTATGGGTGTGCTTCTTGCAATGTGGACAATTTGGTGGGGCATCTGGAGAAGGTCCAGTTGCCTTGACAATTTGTACACCAGTTTGACTATCAAAGACTGGTGCACTGTCTTCAGCTGGTATGTTCATAGCAAACAATTGGGAGAACAGGGCAATAGGTGCAACAATGTTGATGATGTTCATGATGTCTGACAGAGGGTTGGGATTGAACACAGGAGGTGGTGGGTTTGGTGGTGAATACAGTGATCAAGAGCTGGTGCTTGCTGTTACACTTAAGTTGGTGGTGGAATTGTGACTATTTTGGGAAACTAAACATGAACCTGCTAGTTAACCCTTGGGCAGTGCTTGAATAGCCTGGTTCACAATAGCCAGTCATTGGAAAATTCTTTATCTGTAATCAGCAATTGGAGGACTTCCCTTCAGTTTTACAGGCCCTGTAAAGCTATTTTTACAGGCTGTAAACCCAAATTTCCAGCACACTGTAATTTTAGCTTTCCGTTGGAACCAAGCTACATGTGCATTTTTCAGAAATAGTAAGCCCATCTTGGGCCAAACACCTCCCCTCCTTTGCCAAGGACCTCATCACACTCAAAGAACACTAAAGATGGCACGTGGTTACCCGTTGGTGGGTACCTGGTACCCGCAAACGGGTACTCAATTCCCTGGTGGGTACCCTCTCCACGTGTACCAAGTATGGGTATGGTGTAAAGCTCAAAAGTGTTTGTGAAAACCTTTTGCTGAGTGTGGAAAGGGATGATTGAGGATACCTCTGCCTTTCCTGGATCACTAGACACTAGACAAGCCCACCAATCTCAGATTGGAAGGTTTAATAAAAGTGATAGTGGAGTGTATCAAAAGATAACTGTGGCTTAACAGGTGGACAAAGGGTTCAACCCAGCTTTATAAGGGTCTAAAGGTTGATTTGAGAGTGAGAGAGTGAGTCTAGCTGATATTTCAATGTAAGGGGATGGTATGTAATGGTATGTAAAGGTTTGTAAGGGTAGGGGGTATGAAATAGGTGGATACTAAACTGAGGGGAAAACAACTGAGAGGAGAGCCTCTTAAATACACAAAGGTGAGGGATTTTAGCTTCAGGGGAACAAGAGAATGAGAGATTTTAGCTGGCCAGAGCTTTAAAATGAGGGGATTTAGCTAGTCAGTACATGTACATGAGGTATTTTGGCTGGTGAGCAACGACATGATGTCATGAGGAGTTACTTTAGCTTGAACTAGAAGTCTACATGAGGTTTTTATGCTGGTGAAGCATTTTACATAAGGTGATGTACTAGTCTGCAAGCTAAGGTGAGGTGATGAATGTGGTGTGAGATAGTCTGACAGCTGCAAGGAAGATTAACAAATGACATGACAACCTGCATGATGTCACTTGTAAATCCAGAGTGGTACCAGACCAACACTGCATGTGTCAACTGTCAGAAGATAGTGGAGTGGTGTGTATACATGTACTATAATGGTGTGAGAGTGTATGTAGTTGTCCTGCAATGTACATATGTATAGTGTGAGTTATGTAATTTGTTGGTGTTGTTGAGTGTTGAAGTTCAGGTGGCAAGTGGGGCCGACCCGAGACCCGAGGAGTTATGAGGCGGGTTCGGGCAGGAGTTTGGGAAATGTTGACCTGACCCGGACCGACCCGGCTTGTTCTCAAGTCGGGTTCGGGCAGGTGCTGCAGACTTCGGGTCAGCCTCGGGTAGACCCGAAAACCCGACTAGGTAGTAGGGGGCCAAGGGTTAGGACGCAGGGCAGAGTCCGGATCAGAGACAGCTATCCTCCTCAGTGCTGACCTCATAACTCCCCAACTTTATTTGTGATTAGGCTAGTTGTCAAGGGGCCAGTTTGGTGCCTGGCACATGTATCATGCCCCTCCTGCGTTCAAATCCCCTGACTGTCTAAGTGTCATAAAGAAAGTCACTTTGCCGGGTCGACCCGAGCCCCGACCCGGTGCAACCCGGACCCGGTGTAGCTTTAATAGAGTCGGGTTTGGGCAGCATTTTTTACAATGCAACCCGACCCGCCCCGACCCACATATCTTATAGGGTCGGGTTTGGGCACTGTTTTTTGACCCGAACCCGACCCATATGCCACCTGAGTTGAAGTGTTGCCATGGTGGTG